ACACGGGGAATAGTTAATCTTACAGTCCAGAAACAAAGGATCCTAGGATCATCAAGGGAGAAGAACACAAGTGGAATGCGAGACCTTATCCAGAGAAGCAGTGACACCAGAGAGGGACACAGAGATGGGGACATGGAGAGAGGGAGCAACTGAGGACTCTAGGTACATTGGAAGAGAGGGACTAAGAGATGGCAGCCAGGAGGCAGACTTGTAGAACGTGCCTGTTGGTGGTGTAAATTATTATATATGCCTGAGTGTTTTAAAAAAGCAAAAACAAAAAAAGAGCTGAAGTGAATAGAGAGAAATACTGTTAACTGATGGTACATGGAGGGGATTATAATCATTGTAATGAAACAAGGTGCATGATTTGTTGGATGTAAAACTGATAATCTGCCCTGTAAACTTTCACCCAATCCACAATAAACACCTTAAAAAACGAAACAAAACACAGTCCATGGTCATCAGTGAATTCTCTAGCAGCAGCAGCACTGTGTTTGGTACAAAAGGAAGGGTAATCTTAAGGCTATTGTTTCCACTGCACAGAAAGGAGTGGACTTGACCAGGGGAGGCATCTCAAATTTGGTGCCCAATTTGATCTAGTTGTAAAAGTGCTGTTGTTGTTAAGTGCCACTGAGTTGGTTCTGACTCAGAGCCACCCTGTATAGGGGTTCCACACAGCAGCTGGTGGGTTTGAACTGCTGACTTTGTGGTTAGTACTCCAGTGTTAACTCTACAACACCACACCAAGACTCCTAGAAGTGCTGTTATTGTTGTTGTTAAGTGCCATTAAGTTGGTTCTGACTCATAGCGACCCTGTATAGGGGTTCCAAGAAATGCCCGCTGAGTTTGAACTGCAGACCTTGTGGTTCAAACCGACCTTGCAGTCCAGTCCCACAGCGCCACACCAGGACTCCCCACAGAGCCACCGCAGCTGTTGTTGTTGTTAAGTGCTGTTGAGTCGGTTCCGACTCATAGTGACCCTGTATAGGAGTTCCGAGTAGCGGTTGGTGAGCTTGAACCACTGACCTTGAAGTTCAAGCCGACCTTGCAGTTCAAACCAATCTTGCAGTCCAGTGCTTTATTCCACAACATCACACCAGGACCTAAAAAAACAAAAAAAAAACACCTGTTAAGAGACAGGATCTCATCTGAGAAGCTCAGGGGTCAGGTATCAGGACCCTTCTGAGAAAGACTTTCCCCAAACTCCTTACTTGCAATGGAGGCAACTAAGTAGGGAGGGACTTGCTGCCCTGAGTCAAAGGAACAGGATTGCTTCCCAAAGGAGAGATACTTCTAACTTGTACCTATTTGCTTCTTGCCACTCTCACAGCCTGGTTAACAGGAACCACAGATATGCCCAGACTTCCTGATTCTGCATATTAATAGAGTCTTATCTCCCTATAAGGGAGCTTTTGTGACACAGTGGTTAAGTGTTAGGCTGCTAACTGAAAGGTGGGTGGTTAGAACCCACCAGCGGCCCTGTGAGAGAAAGATGACGCAATCTGCTTCCATACAGATTTATAGCCTTGGAAACCTTATGGGGCAGAGCTTGACTCTGTTCTTAAGGATCGCGATGAGTCAGGATTGACTTGGAAGCCAGTGTGTTTGGGTGTCTCCCCATAAGGAGGCAGGTGACAAAATAGTGAAGTTCTCAGCTGCTTATAAAAAGTCTCAAGCCCAATCAGTGGCTTCTCAGGAGAAAAACCTGGCAATCTGGTTTCACGAAGATTGTTAGTTGTTAAGTGCCATGGGGTCAGTTCCCATTCATAGCAACCCTGTATAGGGTTTCTGAGGACTGGCTGGTCATCTCCATAAAGACTGTTGTTATTGTTATCAAATTAGTTATGTTGTTGTTGTTGTTGTTATGCCATCGAGTCAGAGTCAGTTCCTACTCATAGTGACCCTGTATTGTCTTTCTGGGGAGTGGCTGGTGGATTTGAAACACTGACCTAGAAAACTCTATAGGGAAGTTTTACTCAGTTACATGGGGTCACTATTTGCAGGAATGGGCTCAATGGCACCCAGAAACAACAACAAAACATCTTCCTATAGTGAATGCCCCAGCTACTCTGTGACAGAGGTATTTCAACTTTGCAGATGTGTAGAGGTAAAATGGCATAACTGGGTATAGTCTGGATTCCAGTCCAGGTCCCCAAAGTCTCTTTCTGGATACTTTCTGCTTAATTTGTATGAAGGAGTTTCAAAAAATTCCTGGAATTAAAGGATAATGAAATTTGTTCACAAACTTTTGAAGTCTTCTTGGATTTATCTTTTATCCAGTGATCTTAGCTCCTGGGTCCTGGGGGGAGGAGGGGTAAGAGAAATTTCATTTAATGACTTCATCGAGTCTGCTCCATACATCTAACCACGGGTGTGAATAAAATCATGAATGGGTGTAATTAGATGAACTTTTTAGCAAAGCCTGAATTTTCATACCCCTGGATCACTTGGAGGTAGGAGTGCTAAGCAACAAAGTTCCCCTCCCCAACCCTCCCAGTGGTATAATTTTTAAGCCAAGTCTCTCAAAACCTACTTCTTCCTTTTCCTTGTTGGTTTTTGTCACTGAACTTGTATGTGAGCACAACTTTTGAATTCAGATGGTCTGAAAATAACAGAATAAAAATAGCCAACTGGTTGGTGATAATGGAACCAGAAAATTTCTAACTGCAGTCGGAAGGGCACTGGTTCTAAAGCCAACTGGAAAGAGATGAGAAGGGGTGGGTGGAAGCCCCCACCACCCCCCACCCCCACCCCCAGTTCTGGACTTGTCTGTGGCAATGCAGAACTTTGGGTTGGCTCTTCCTGGCTAGTGGAGACCTCTGTGTGCAGACAAAGAGGAAGCAGCTAGTCAAAGGTTCTGCTTTCAGGCTTGGTTTTGCCTTGGTCAGTGCCCATCCCTAGGTTCCTGCTCCCTGAAAAGCTGCCTAGCTAGACACTAACTAGGTACGGCTTCAGGTTGGCCTCTATTTGCCATGCTCCTTTCCACAAAACTATATGGTTGTTTTTTTCTGTGTAGACTCTTCCTGGCTGGTATTGATCGTTGTTTTATTAGCAAACAGTATACCAAGATAAAAATAAACACCAATGTTTGTGCAGAAAGAGAGTCACACAGATCTGTGTATTTATGGTTAGGGGAAAAAAAAAAAAAAAAACTTGCTTCAAGACCCAATGGTTAAACTAGTACCTAATCATCTCCTCACACCTCTTCAATAACCATAAAGATGTTTGTCTGTCTGTGTCCTTCCACCTTACAGGGCGGGAAGCTGTGGTTTTCCCTACACACCCTGAGTGCTTGGCGCTCATTTCATACTTGTGGACTGACACCAAGGCAGAAAGAACTACCCAGGAAGCAATCATTTCAAGGCTCGTGCTGGCACTGAGCCTTTTAGCTCATTTCCACATGCAGCTGCCCCAGCTGGCCAGTAGCCACCATGACTTGGGGTTAGGGACCCTGGTCCAGAAAGGCAAGCAACAACTATTACAGAGGACATTCACACAGATTTGTCATGTTTACCATTCAGGCCAAGTGTTTCCACAAGCTCGTGAAGTGGCAGTGTGTGATCATTCTTACTCCCATTTTAAAAAATAAACTGAGGCTGTTAAGAGGCACCAACTTGCCTAACCAAAGTCACACAAGCCTCCTTTTGAAATAACAATCTGGAAAAAATAGAGATTTGTGCCTTTATGCAAATTCCTCATCTGTAAAACAGAGATAGTACCTAATAATACTCCTGGTGTGGCGCTGTGGACTCCTGGTGCAAACCACAAGGTTAACAGTTCAAACCCACCAGCTGCTCCTCGGAAGCCCTATATAGGGTGACTATGAGTCCTAACGGACTTGACCGGCACTAACAACAACCATGACTTATAAATATTATGTATGTGCTGAAATCTCTGTGTGGTGCAAACACACTCCGTTACTAATCCAAAGGCTGTAAATTCGAGTTCACTCAACTGGTAGTCCATTTTCAAAATATCAGATATTGAAAATCCTATCAAGCAGAGTTCTGCTCGGACACATATGGGGTGGCTAGGCGGCAGAACTGACTTGATTGTAATTGCTGCTGCTGTATCTATGTATTTACTTGGTTTGGGACTCTTTTCTTTTCGTAGATTGTAAACTCCAAAGGACAGGAGCATCGTCTTGCTCACTGCCTGAAATATAGAAAGTCTGGCATCCTAGTCCATCTTGGTCTCAAGAGTTTCACTGAAACCTGTCCAATAGCTCAGCAACACACAGGACTCACCAACAGACAAATGGTGTATACGCTTGAGATTCACCAGGAAGGCGAGAATCTACCACTGGACTGTCACTATCCCCCTAAGAATCTTCTGAGTTCCACAGATTTCACTCCAAACCTGGCAGCCACACGGAAAGGCTCAGGGCTGGGGATGGGGGAACCCAACTTCTGGCCTTGGTCCAAGGTCAGCAAACAAACAAACACAGACAACAAAAACCCTGGAGTAAGACGGCCAGAAAAAGCACGCAACCCGAGGAATGATATTCTGGTGGATTTCAAGGTCTTCTTTAGACCTATGCCTTCGGGTTCTCCACTTTTTTTGATTAGGAAAATAATTTTCCTCGCACAATCACGAGTAGTAAGGTTTCTGAGTTTATGCGGAGAAGGGTCAGCCGCCCTGAGCCACACACCTCTGGAGAATGGGAAGGAGACAAACACGTAGGGACGGGGAGAGAATGCGGAAGAGGAAAAACATGGCCAGAAGATCAGATCCTGGCGGAGGAGAACCCGCGTGGACGCAGTAGGTAGGGAAAGGCGCGGAAGAGCGAGAGAAGAGGGAGAGGGCGGGGGCGGGGCGCCTGCCGGCATCTGCCCTTGCTCGTGAGCCGTTCCACCTTAAACGTTTGGACTCCCTTAAGGTCGGGCGCCAGAGCTCCGCGCTTCGGGGCGGAGTCTCCCATGCAAATGAGGGGTGTGGGTCGCCGGGGCGGGGCGGGCGGGGCGCTGACTTGACGTCAGGCCCGTGGCCCGGGCAGTTGGCTCGGCGGCGGCGGAGCGGCAGGAGCAGCGGCGCCGAGCCGGGCTGTGCGGTGCGGCGCGGGGAGCAGCGGCGGCAGAGCAGGAGCAACATGGCGCCGGTGGGCGGGGGCGGGCGCCCGGCCGGCGGGCCGGCCCGAGGGCGCCTCCTCCTGGTGGCGCTGGTGCTGCTGTGGGCACGGGGGGCCCGGGGCCAGGGCGACCTCCAGCGGGCCACAATCCTGGGCATGAGGCTGGCGAGCTGCAACAAGTCGTGTGGGATAAACTCGGAAGGCATCATCTTCGTGTCCGAGGGCAGCACTGTGAACCTGAGGCTGTACGGCCAAAGCCTGGGCTCCATCTCCAGCAACCTGATCTCCTTCACCGAGGTGGACGACTACGGGACTAACCACAACTCCACCAATTGCCCGGAGCTCACCAAGGACCTGGTCGTCCAGCAGCTAGTCAATGTGAGCCGCGGGAACACGTCCGGGATGCTGGTGGTGCTCACCAAGTTCCTCCGGAGGAGCGAGAACATCAAGCTCTATGCATTGTGCACTCGGGCTGGGGTGGATGGGCCCTGGCAGAGGTGGACAGACAAAGACTCCCTGCTCTTAATGGTGGAGGAGGCCGGAAGGTTCCTGCCCCTCTGGCTGCACATCCTCCTTATTATGGTGCTGCTAGTGCTGTCGGGCATGTTTTCTGGCCTCAATCTGGGGCTGATGGCTCTGGACCCTATGGAACTGCGCATCGTGCAGAACTGTGGCACTGAGAAGGAGAAGCGCTATGCCCGCAAGATTGAACCCATCCGTCGCAAAGGCAACTACTTGCTTTGCTCTCTGCTCCTGGGAAATGTATTGGTCAACACCTCCCTCACCATCATTTTAGATAACCTCATTGGCTCTGGCCTTATGGCAGTGGCCTCCTCCACCATTGGCATTGTCATCTTTGGGGAGATTGTACCCCAGGCCCTATGTTCCCGGCATGGGTTGGCTGTGGGTGCCAACACCATTAGTGTCACCAAATTCTTTATGCTGCTCACCTTCCCCCTCAGTTTCCCCATCAGCAAGCTCCTGGACTGTATTCTGGGCCAAGAGATTGGCACCGTTTACAACCGGGAGAAGTTGATGGAGATGTTAAAGGTGACCGAGCCCTATAATGATCTTGTGAAGGAGGAGCTTAATATGATCCAGGGTGCCCTGGAATTACGGACCAAAACCGTGGAAGATATCATGACCCAGCTTCAAGACTGCTTCATGATCCGCAACGATGCCATCCTGGACTTCAATACTATGTCAGAGATTATGGAAAGTGGCTATACCCGCATCCCTGTGTTTGAAGACGAGCAATCCAATATTGTAGATATTCTCTATGTCAAAGACTTGGCCTTCGTGGACCCTGATGACTGCACCCCCCTCAAGACCATCACCCGCTTCTATAACCATCCCGTCCATTTTGTTTTCCATGACACCAAGTTGGATGCCATGCTGGAGGAGTTCAAGAAGGGTAAGGTCTGATGGAGCTTTTGTGTTAAATTTCTTTGTAACACCTTTGCTACTCTTACCTGTTTTACGTCTGCTTTATTTAGGGTTCTGTTTGGGTGACTGTCTCCCTTTGCCTATCACTCTCTGTGCCATGGAGTGAACAGTATTCAGGGCAGCAAAAACAGTTACGTGTTCTGTGCTTTGTGCTTCACACAAATCTGAGTAAGACATTGCCTACCCTCCCCCCCACCCCCACTCCTACCCTCCACCCCCTTGGACAGCCTAGTTGGAGGGATAGAGCAAGGCCTTAGGGAGCAGGTTAAAGATGGAGATGCTGAGATTCGAGCGATGGAGATCCGATGGAACCTGAACATCTGACTGAGGTGAGGTGGGAAGGTTCTAGAGGACCAGAAAACCCTTCACATAGAAGGGAGCATTTGAGGAGAGACTTAAAAGATAAGGAAGCTGTTGAAAAGTAACATGGTACTTGAGTCTGAGAGAACTCCATGCCCCGAGAATCATAAATGGGGAAGGGGAGGATGTGCTTGTGACCCAACACAGGATCTGGTTTGGCTGGAGTATAGGTGCTATGTCAGGTTAATGGGCGACAGGCTGAGTAGTTTGAAGTTGATGAAGAGGACTGAAAGTTGGGACAGTCAGTTAACTGGTAGCTATCAAAGATTTTTGAGCAGGGGAGTGGCATGATTATAACTCCTAATCCAAACTCCTAATCTGTAGGTCTCTCCCTAATTGGTTATCTGCACAAAACAATGGCAAGTAATTTTTTGAACTATCCAGCAGAAGCAAGTAACATTTTGGAAATTGCTCTGTCTTTCCCAGGCGCCAAACGTAAACATCCCTCCTGTGGTCTGATGAGAATCTTTCCCTGGCCTTGGATTGCCTTGTGTTTCTCACATGGGTTCTTGGCTGGTTCTCAGGTAGTTAGAGAGGCTCTTGGAGGGCCTACTCATCAGTCTCAAAGCTCAAGGCGTGTACACTTCTTTCTTTCCAATAAGACTTTCCTCCGGGACCTCTGCCTCTGCCACTCAGAAGCCCGCAGAGTGGCAGTAAACAAGCCAATTATGGAGTTAAACACTCCTAGAGCAAAGGGAATGAGGCAGAAAAGGGAGCTGTTTATAAAGGAGTGATGTGGGGGGCACTCATCCTAGACCTGGGGTATTTGCTTTGCTTTTTAAATACCCTCCCAGCCTTCCTCTCCATAGCTGGAGCCCCTTACGGCTCAGGCAGGGCTAAAACCCTAGCTGGGAGGAAGCTGGAATATCCATCCTCTCAGTTGTTTCTGGAATAGCGTAGAGGACAACCCTGCCCTCCAGGGAGTCGGGTAGAGAGGAGCAGCTTTTCCAGGTTCCATCTAAAAAGATGCTCAGGTAGGGAGTTGTTGTGTTAGTGCCGTTGAATCCGTACCAACTCATAGGAACCCTGTACGGGGTTTCCGAGGAGTGGCTGTTGAGTTTGAACAGCTGACCTTGCACTTCAAACCGACCTTGTGGTCCGATGCTTCTCCTACAGCACCACACCAGGTGGGGAGTTGTTAACCTCTCTTTTAACATTTAAGTGCTGTCCAGTCTATCTGATTCATAGTGACCCTGTATAGGGTTTCTGAGGAAGGGCGTGAACCACCAACGGCGCTACACCAGCATTTCATAAGGGACCTGGCTGTCCACATGAGGGGTTGGCTTGAGTAATAGAAGTCAGAGTGGGTGACATCTGGGTGAAGGCAGCTTCACAGCAAATATACTGCAGGAACACCAACTCCTAGGTCTGGTGGATGATGGCAGAACTTGGGGGTAACTTTGGGATGTACATAGGGAACCTGTTAAACTCAGGATCCTGTACTCCAGAAATATTTGTTTTCCACCCCCACCCCCCCATCCCTTCCCACCACACCCTTCAGTTTTAGGGCCCAGAAGACTCCTCTCCCCTCCCCACTGTATCCCTTGGTCAGGAGCCGGGTTAGGGACTCTTCAGGGCAGCTCCTCCTTACCACTTCTCTGGTCAGTGGGAGTATTGTCCTGTGACATACCCAACATCACATGCCCATCCATTCAGCCTGGATCTGGATCTAACCAGTGTGAATTGGTTTGGCCAGGCTTCCCAGTCCATGATCAGCAGGGCTGAGTCCTCCTAGGGTGGGACGCTTCCTGGATCTTGGCAAGGCTGTCTTTGGATTCCATCAAGTAAAGAAATGCTCTCTCATTAAGGTGGGTCAGAGTTTTGTAGTCAAACTTCCCACATTTCACTTTAATCCGTCAGAGTCTTCTTAACAAAAGCCATAGCTTAAGGCCTAGCCCAGGAGGGGTGCTGGTGATCCCTTGGGAATGTAGTCCCAGTCTTCCTTATACTACTGGAGGCCATGGAGATGTGGCTGTGATATGGTCGCCCCCAAGGAAAACTTTTACACCATCACTTCCTGATTCTGGGAGGTTAGGGGAAACCAGCCTTACCCATTTGCTGTAGATTCCTGCCAGTATGGCCTCTCCCAAATCTTTCTATTTGGTAGAGTAGTGGTTCCGAGTTTGGCTGATAACCTCAAGGTCAGCAGTTCGACACTGCTAGCCATTCAGCAGGAGAAAGATGAGGCTTTTTGCTCCCATAAAGCCTTAGAATTAGAGGCTTCTTGAGGATAGGGAAGCCTTGGTGGTTCAGTGGGTTAGGCATTAGGCTGCTAATGGAAAGGTCAGTGGTTCAAGCCCACTTGATGAGAGAAAGATAAAGCAGTCTGCTTCTATAAAGATGAACAACCTCAGAAACCTAGGGAGCAGTTCTACTCTGCCCTTACAGACTTGCTAGGAGTTAAAACCCACTCAGCAGTAAATTTGGTTTGGTTTTGAGGGTAGGGACCATGCCTTTTTAAGATCTTCTGTAAAATGTTTGTTGAATAAATGAATGTTGTTGTTGTTGTTATGTGCCGTGAAGTCAGTTCTGACTCATAGTGACCCTGTACAGGGTTTCCGAGGCTGTAAATCTTTACGGGAGCAGAAAGCCTCATCTTTCTCCCGCAGAACAGCCAGTAGTTTCAAACTGCTGACCTTAAGGTTCGCAGCCCGATTCGTAACCATTACGCTACCAGAGCTCCTTTGAATAAATGAATAAACATGTGAAAAGGTAAGTTTCTGGCAAGTCCCCCAGGCCTTCATGGCTCTTCTTGAATATACTTAGATGCTCTCACCCTAGGGTCTTTGCCTATGGTTTCCTCTACCTGGAATACTGTTCAGATGCCAGCATGACTCCCCTTCTCCCAACTTCTGCTTCAATATCACCTCCTCTGGGAAGCCTTTCTATTTACTACTGTATTTGAATGAACTACAACTCTATATCCTGCCCTAACCTTTCTGATCTCCCCTACCCTGTGCTCCTTTTTCTCAAGGCATTGTGTCAATCTGTAACATCTATATGACTTGCTCACCAGCTACTCCTTGGAAACCCTATACAGGGACGTTATGGGTTGGAACCCACTTGACGGCACTTCACAACAACAACAACAACAAAAACAACTAGATGATAGGAGTCCTGGTGTGGTGCTGTAGGGTAAGCACTGGACTGCTAAACGCAAGGTCTGCAATTCACACCCACCAGCTGCATATCATAAATCCTATACAGGGTTGTTATGAGTCAGAACCAACTGAAGGCACTGAACAATAGCAACAGTAACTTAGAGTATAAGTTCCAAAAGGCAGGGCTCTTTGTTTCGTTCACGGATGTGTCTCTAACCCTAGAGTATTCTTGTTGCCTATGTTAAGGCCTCCAATAAAAAGTACTGAATGAATGAATGATCTCTCAGGGTTGAGAGACTTATCCTCATTCCAGCAGTGTTAGACTTTTGAGGTACTAATGAAGTGCTGCAGAGCCATTTAAGGAGTCCTGGTGTGGCACTTTGGGTTAATGCGTGAGACTGCAAAGTCATTTGAACTGCCAGGTCAGTGGTTCAAGTTCACCAGCTGCTCCTTGAAACACTATACAGGGTCGCTATGAGTCGGAATCCACTGGATGGCATTTAACAACAACAACAAAGCCATTTGAACTGCAAGGTTGGCAGTTCAAGCTCACCAGCTGCTCCTTGGAAACCCTATACAGGGTCACTACGGATCAGAACTGACTCGATGGCACTTACCAAGAACAATGAAGTACGGTGCTGTAGGATAAACATTGGACTTCAAGGTTAGTTTGAACCACAAGGTCAGTGGTTCAAACTAACCAGTCACTCATTTCTCGGAAACCCTATACAGACAGGGTTGCTCTGAGTCGGAATCGGCTTGACAACACTTGAACAACAACAACAACAATGAGGGATACAGAGCAAACAGCTCTGGACTCCTGGTGCAGCACTGTAGGATCAGTGTTGGACTGCAGGCTGCAAGGTCAGCAGTTCAAACCCACTAGCTGCTCCTCAGAAACCCTGTAGAGCATTGCTGTGAGTTGGAACGAACAGCACTTATCAACAGCAACAGTGAGGGATAAAGAAAAACGTAATCGGTATGGTACAGTTACCAGGGGCTGGTCATTTCTAGCCTCACTAGGAAAGAGACAAGGAGCTTCTGCAGTGACACCTGCATTAGTGGTTCAGGGCCTGAGAAGTCAAGTTTGGAGTGTTGAGTGTGCTGTGTGGACCCTCTTCCTCACGCCACAGTTTCTGTGCAAGTCAGCAGGTTTTCACCATCAGGATTTTAGGCCTCTTCACTCATTAGCATAAGGCCTGAATGTGCTGCTACACACTTGAGAGATGAGCTCTGGAGTCAGTATAGGTATGAGAGACAGAGCATCCCCTAGGGATGATGGCAGGGGCTTCAGGTCAGTTGTCATTAAACATTTACTTTATGCTATGTGTGCAGTTCAAGCTCACCAGCTGCTCCTCAGAAACCCTATACAGGGTTGCTATGGGTGGGAACCGACTCAATAGCACTTCACAACAACAATGTGTGTGGTGCTGCAGGATAATGCACTGGACCACAAGGTCAGTTTGAACCACAGGGTTGTTGATTGAAACCCACCAGTCACTCCTTG